CTAACTGGAACCTGGGGACACGTTCTCAGTTGTGTCCCTCAGTGAGACTTATTAGCAGTACAAGAAACTTTAGTGTTTCAATCTCACTTTGACTTCCTGAAAAGTTGTTTGAACTTCCTCTCAGGGACTGAGTCTCAGGTAAACAATATCAACCCCCCAGAGGGTCATGAAATGCCTGGGGCTGTTGCTGTGCTGCTGAGCTGGGCCGGGCTCCTGGCACACAGGGAGCTCCTGGCAAGCAAGAAGAGCTTCAAAGACACAGCTCTGCTGGTGAGCAGCTCCTCTGCACAGCCCAGCAGGGCTGAGGGCACTGCCTGCAGCACCCAGGGCACAAAAGCAAGGCAGACAGAGGTTACACACAGCCTGGGCTGGGAGGGAAGTCGAGAGGAAGATCCACTGCAGGAGGAATCTTTCCAGGCTTTCTCATGGTGAGTCAGCATGAAAGGCAATGTGTCTGCAGTTGGTGCAAAGATCTCCTAATGCTGGCACATCCCACTGCCTGCTGCACCATCCCAGGCACATCCCAGAAGGGTTCCCTTCTCCCAGGGATGGCTGCAGGGTTGTGAAGCCGGGCTGTGCCACCCAGGCTGCCCCAAGCTATCCTGCAGAGCAGGGTCCTGCAGCCCAGGGCTGTGCCGGGGCAGGAGCTCTGCCACTGCCAGGGGCAGCTCTCAGCCGGGCTGGGGAGCTCCCTCAGGGCTGGGCAGAGGCTGGGGGTGGAAAGAGCAAAGCCTGGCAGGACAGAGCAGGTTTCTTCTGCTATCAAGTGAGAGTTTCATGGGTCAGGGCTGCTCACAGAACCAGAACACCCCAGGATATTTTCCAGGGGATCCTTCAAGGGGAAGGTCCAAGGAGGGATTTCTCTCAAGCTCTCAAGCCACATGCCCGGTAGTTTGAGTTGCAGAGGAACTCTGAGGAGCTTCCCAGGGCTGAGAACAACTTGCTGGCACTGTTGGTGTCTGGGAGGTGGCACAGCTGGCTCAGGGTGATGCTGTCCTGAATGCCCAGTGGGCTCTGCCCTGGCCTCTCCCAGCTGGACCCTCCCTGTGCATTTCCTTGGTTCTCAGCTTGCCTGTGGTCCTGAGGTTGTTCCCTCCTTCTCTCAGTCAGGCTCACTGGGGAGGTCAGTTCAAGCTACACAGTCCAACACTGATCCTGGGATTCCTCTATGGCAGGTGTGTCCCTGGGAATGAGACATTCCACTTGTCCTCTGCCCTGTGGGGCTGTGGGCAGTGAAGTCTGCGGGCCTGGGTCAGGAGCTCTTTTTCCCTCAATCAGGCCCTGTCATTAGGACACTTGGCTCTTTTCTGAGGTGTCCTTCCAAGCTGGAAACTGCCCTCGAGAATGCAAACCATCCTCCCAGCACAGCTGTGTTCTCTGAAAGCCCCAGTGGAGAGGGGCAGAGATGCTGTGGCCAGGCCAGGAGATGCTGTTGGGTTGGGGAGATGAGCCACAGGTGTCCTTGGCTCCAAGTGGGGTGCTGAGCCCTTGAGACAGGCTGAGACCTTGAGGGGTCTGGGATGGATCCCTCTGCTCTCAACAGTGTCTGGGGGCTTTTCAGACCCAAATGGGAGTGTGATCAATCTCCATCTCCGGAAGGAGCAAAGGCAGGGCAGTTGGGAACAAGAGAGAGGGACAGACCAGCTCCCCTCACTCTGCACTAAGCCCCAGACAATCCTCCTGCCTGGCAGGTCCTGCTCTGTTCTCCCTGAGTGCATCAGAAGTGCTGAGGGGTTCTGACATCCAGGAACACTCCTCAGGAGAGATGAGGGGAGTTTTAAAAAAAAACAAACCCAAACTTCTGAAACTGCCTTCTGCTCTCTTGGTTCTTCTGGGAGTGCAGATGCTGACAAGTCTTTTTGCAGTGGGAGCAGTTTCATCTGACACAGTTGAACACCAGGATGGGCCCCTGTGCCCACCATGCCCATGACCCCACCGGTGCAGAGCAGGGCTGACCCCTCACAGCCAGTGGGCAGAGGGTCTGCTCCTCATGGAAGATGTAGTGAGCCCCAACTAGGGCTCCAGTCATGGAGCTGAAGGAGAGACTCCCAGAAAAGGAAAACCAATGGAGCAGTGAGAGGGGTGTTGGAAAGCGGCTTTGATTTTTCTCAGGATGTTGTGCCCTAAATTTTCACTGTTATTTCCTCCTTGAACAGGGCCCCACATCTAGAGGCAACGAATGTCCAACAGCAGCTCCCTCACCCACTTTCTCCTCCTGGCATTCGCAGACAGGCGGGAGCTGCAGCTCCTGCACTTCTGGCTCTTCCTGGGCATCTGCCTGGCTGCCCTCCTGGCCAACGGCCTCATCCTCAGCACCGTAGCCTGCGACCACCACCTGCACACCCCCATGGGCTTCTTCCTGCTCAACCTCTCCCTCACAGACCTGGGCTGCATCTGCACCACTGTCCCCAAAGCCATGCACAATTCCCTCTGGGGCGCCACAACCATCTCCTACACGGGATGTGCTGCACAGCTCTTTTTCTTTACCTTTTTTATGTCAGCAGAGCTTTCCCTCCTCACCATCATGTGCTACGACCGCTACGTTGCCATCTGCAAACCCCTGCACTACGGGACCCTCCTGGGCAGCAGAGCCTGTGCCCACATGGCAGCAGCTGCCTGGGCCACTGTGTTTGTCTATTCTCTGCTGCACACAGCCAATACATTTTCCCTGCCCCTGTGCCAGGGCAATGCCCTGGGCCAGTTCTTCTGTGAGATCCCACACATCCTCAAGCTCTCCTGCTCACTCTCCAACCTCAGGGAAGTTTGGCTTCTTGTGGTTAGTTGCTGTTTAGGGTTTGGTTGTTTTGTTTTCATTGTTTTCTCCTATGTGCAGATCTTCAGGGCTGTGCTGAGGATCCCCTCGGAGCAGGGACGGCACAAAGCCTTTTCCACGTGCCTCCCTCACCTGGCTGTGGTCTCCCTGTTCCTCAGCACTGGCATGTTTTCCCACCTGAAGCCCCCCTCTATCTCCTCCCCATCCCTGGATCTGGCCCTGTCAGTTCTGTACTCGGTGGTGCCTCCAGCACTGAACCCCCTCATCTACAGCCTCAGGAACCAGGAGCTCAAGGACTCTTTGAGGAAAATGATGGCTGAATTTAGAGGCAATAATAAAGTGTGTCTTTTCTTCTGCAGCATATGTAGAAGGTAACTACAGTCTGAGCTTTTTTCCTCCTATTTGTTCTTTTTTTTTGGTGGTGCGTTTTCTTATTCTTTTTCTACATTTATAAATGTTATCAAAAAATCAGTGGCATTGCTCATAAATTTCTATATTATTATCTACCATCCTTCTCTATTCCAAAGGCTTTTAAAAGGCTTGTTCTCTGTACATTTGAGTAGAATAAAGTACCCTGCCTTGACTCATGTGTCCAAGATGCTTCCTCAGCCCTTCTCTGGAGCTGCAGGGGCAGTGCCTGTGAGCAGAGCTGGAGGGAAGAGACTCCCAGCACAGCAGCACAGCCAGGGACAAGGGCACTTGCTCCTTCCACATCTGCTCTTTCCAGCTCCACACTGTCCTCAGCCCTGCTGTGGGTGCAAAGCCTGAGTGCTCTGGCAGCTTGGGCACAGTCCTGCTGCGTGTCCATGCTGGGATCACAGGCAGGGGCAGTCCCTGGCATTGCTGGCACAGAGCTGGGCTCCACACCAGCAACTCCATCAGCCAAGGGCATCTCCTGAGGGCAGGGCAGGAAGGCTTCAGGCTCTTCCTCCACAGTCACTGTTAGCAATGTGCTCCAGGAATGCCCTGGCAAAGCAAATGCCAGTGCCCAGCTGGGAGTGGGAGTGTGCAGGGTGGGGGCCCGCAGCAGTGTCCTGGCACAGCCAGAGCTCCTGGCACAGACCCGAGGGACCAGCAGAGCAGGGGCTGGGCTGTGTCTTTGTTCCAGGGACAGCCTGGGAAGGTGCCCCAGGGTCACTGTCACAGAGCAGCCCCGGCAACCCCCATTCCCAGCCCTGGCCTCTCACCCCACCTGCAAGAGGTTGGTTGTCCCTCCATGGAGGGACATCAAGGGACCAAGTCAGAAGTCCACGTTTGCTTTCCACTGAGGACACCTCAGTATGGCTGCTCCATCCCTGCCCTGCCTTCTTGCCCATCCCTTTCCCTGCCCAGCAGAAAAGCAGCCCAGCTGGGCAGCATTGCCCCTGTGCAGGCAGGAAGGGCTCTGCAGGCAGGAGCAGCACTGCCCTCCAGCAGAGGCACTTCTGCCCTTTCCCAAAGCACAGAGCACAGCTGGGCACTGGGATGCAGCCAGAGGCACCCACAGCTCCATGGGTCACCCTCTGAGCTGCCTGCACAGCTTCAGTGAGCACCAAGCAGAGAAAGAAATGCTCTCACTCACAGGACTCCAAGTAGGGGAGAGGGGACATGAAGAAGCCAAAGGAGATAAAGAATTTAAAGTTGAGCCAAATATATCCATTGATAGAAGGGACTAGGACAGTAAGATATCATCAGTGGAGTTTTCCCTAAAAGGTATGTGGTGCTGCTACAGCTCCACCACCCTGAGTGACCCCTGACTGGGGACAGCACAGTCTCTGCCTCCAGCACTGTCACTGCCATTTCCTGCACCTTTTGCACATACAGAGTGTTTCCTGCAGTGGCCTCATCCCATGACCAGCACTGGATTGTTTGCCAGCCCTGCTCTCTGCAGGACCCATGGACTGGAAGGGTTGTTTCCAGCAAAGCTGCACCCTGGCTCAGGGCCTTTCTGTCATCAACTGTCACCATTTCCTGCTTGTCCCAGACACTTGTTGTGACCCTGATGAACTGGGTCACTTCTTCTGTGACCTTGCTCCAGGGCTGCAACTCTCCTGCAGTGACACCATGACACTCCTGCTCTCTGCTTTCCAGGTTCCATTTTCAGATCCAATCTTCCCCTGCTGTTCACAGGGACATCCTGTGAATGCTTCAGAGTTGCCATCCTGGGGCAGCTTCTGCCCAGCATGGGCAGGCACAGGGTCTCTCCCCCTGCTCCTCTCACCTCCCCAGGGCCACTGTTTTCTGCAGCCTCCTCAGCCTTGCCCAGCACAGCCCTCCTGGCAGAGTTGGACACAGCCCTTGTTCTACACCCTCCTCAGGCACCTGCCCAACCCCCTCAGCTCCAGTCTGATGACCAGAAACCTTCAGGGCAGGGAGGCACCAGGGAAAATGCTGAGGAAACCTTGCAGCTGCATTCAAATCCAATTGGAGGGGTTGGCCTGGAGGAAGAAATCCCTTCTAATTCTCCAGAACCACCAGGACAACTGTGTGTGGTGTCCTGGGCACTCCTCTGGAAGTGTGGGATATGGAAAAGGTTTTGGTGTCCAGGATAGTGAGAAGGCTGGGCGGTGTCACTGGGAGACCTCTCCCAAACCCTTGGAAAGGCCAGAGCCATCCCAGAGCTTCCTGGGGCCTTGGCAAAGGCAGACATGGAAGCAGTCTGCAAACAGGGCACCAAGGAGGGTTGGGAGAGTTCCAGACTGCTCAGGTTCTGCAGGGAAGGGGATCTGACAAGTCCTCCTGCAGCCATTGCCAGGCATGGGAAGGACAAAGCGGGGATTGCAGAACTCCTGTGGGAGAGAAAAGAAGAGGATGTTTTGTGCCCAGACTTTATCAAGGTCCTTGACATGGTGTCCTGTGGTCTCCTTATGGCCAGACTGGGGAGAGCTGGACTGAAAAAGTGGAAGATGTGGTGGGTGGGAAGTTGGCTGAATGAAGAGTGTCCAATAAAACCCATGGTACAAATTCTTCTTGGCAACAACTTCCTGATGAAATCCCTCAGTGAACAGCCCTTGAACACCACTATGGAACATCTTTATTACTGAACTCTCTGTAAAATGTGACAAAATGTATTTTCAAGTCCTTTGTGGATGATTCCAGATTTCAGGGAGCCCTTGAGCAACCTGTCCTGCTTTAAAGACACATATTGGGGCGGGAACTCCAATAAAATGAACTCACTCCCCTTTTATTCCCCACCAATACAGGGAGACAAAATACAAGGAGGGATAAGTGAATAAAATAAGAGTTTACTGACAAGAAATATAGCAACAAAAACAACAATACCAAGAAAACAGTTCAAAGCAACAGCAGAGAGAGAAATTGCCTCCTCTCTCCCATCCCGACCCAACTCCCTTTTGTAAACAGATAAAAACAGGGATCAACACGTGCCTCCCTTCCCTCTTTTCCCCCTCAATGAACAAAGAACAAAAAAGAAAACCAGGGGAAAGAGGGGGCAAAGCAAAATCTGGGAAACTCTCTGGTCTGAGACAAGTTGTGCTGCCCAAGAACTCGCTGACTCCAGAGGTGTCCAAGCGGGGCAGAGCCGGCGACTCCGGTCTGTGCGGCGGCGGGGGGGGGAAGCAGCAGCTCTGCTTGATTCCATGGAGTTCTGGGGAGGCACAGTGGCCACTTGGTTCCAGGAGGTTCTGAAATGTCTCAGGGTTCCTTTTGTTCCAAAGAGACCCCACATGTCACAATGGGCCCTTGGTTCCATGAGATTCCACAGTGCCCCTGCATTCCTTTGGTTCCATGAGGCCCTGCAGTGTCAAGGTGCCACTTGATTCCGTAACATTACAAAGAATCAGAATGGTCCCTTGATTTAAGGCCAACTGCACTTGGGGCTGCCTTGGGGGGAATGTGGCCACTCAGATAAGGGAGTTGTCACCCCCCTGGACTCAGCCCTGAGGTCACCACATCTGGACTGGACTGCCTGTCTGTGAGGTTCCCCATTCTGGAGGAATGAGGAAGAACTTGAGAGGGTCTAGAGGAGATCTGACAGGATGGAGCTTTTCTTGGTGCTGGAAAGAAAAAGAAACCCCTAAAGTGCAGCTTGGAAGGTTCAGACTGAAGGTGAGGAAAAAGGAATGTTATTCAAAGAGGAACTTTATGCTGACAGAGGTCACTAAGAGGGTGATGGCATGACTTTGTGTTCCAGGGAACAGCCAGAGCTGGTGCAGAGACATCAGGGAGGGTCTAGAAATGCTGTTGGGAGGGGGGTGGCAAAGCAGGAGGGGTGTGTGCAGCCTGCAAGGCCAGAGCAGCAGCAGG